CGTGGTCAAACATAATATTCCTGTTTAGTAAAAATCTTTTAAACGTAGAACTCTATTGACTAGCACCCTTAAAAGAGGGGCCATAATGGCCTGAATTAATTTACTTAGGTACTTGAAAAAAAAACTTCATTTCAATATGTCCTTTTTTGTGGCGCGACAATCATCAAATGACTTTTCTCCCAGAGTATGGCGAGTGCTCAGAATACAGAACAAACCAGAATCCGCGTTCACTCATTATTGCATGGCGTCTAATGTGTCCAAAAACAATACGTCAGTCCCCCGCTAGCCGCACTTCCCACCCGCGTAGTGTTGCCGACAGGGAACAATTCCCTTGGTTTGGGGTAACTTTACTAAAGGGGGGTAAGATATATTTTTTGGGAAAACCCAAAAAAATTTAGGAAAACTTACGATAATTGCAACAGACTAGTTGTTTACACATTTCATGCAGGTATCATAAAAGTTGACGATTTCTGGCTGTGTTAATTTTAGTTACACCGACTATACACAACGTGTATAGTAAATGTGTTTTTTATCCATTTTAAAACTAATATGACAAAGGTTCCACAATGGACAACAATATAACTCACAACAAATAAATAAGTGGGTAAAATTTACACCAAAAATGACAACACTCACAAAATGGCCGCATCATTGTCATAGAAAAATAAATCGTTAAAAGAAAATCAATAATTAATTAAATATACTATTGCAGTCGATGCTAACAGATGAAATGTAATCTTATCCACTTTTTTCGTAATTCCAGCTCTATTTTTACTCGTAGTAATAACACAAGACTGCATATTGAAATTAAAATTGATACTCGTAAATACGTCACGACATGCCACGTGCCAAAATTGACTGATCGTAGAAAATTCATACTACTCTAGCTAAGAGTGGTTTTAGTGAATTTAATATGAAGCGCGTTGCCGCCTTCTGGTTTGGCGAGTGAGAGTGACAGACTATTACACACATTACGATATGACATTGGCCATGTTTTTTCTACCAAACCTACACATATAACTAAGTTCAGTAAACTTAGCCTACACCCACACGATGATAGATCAATATGTATCACATTCAAATAATTTTTCCATTCAATTCATTCTAACAAAAAAATAGTTGTCAAAAATCTCCATTCAGAAGTCGTAGAGCTGCGACTTACAAGAGGGTTTCAAACGTCGGATGCTTCGAAAATTCTAGAACCCATTCTATGTCATACAAACTTTTCATGTTCTTGTATTCAATGAAGTTGAATGGATCCAAAAATTTTATCGACTAGGAATACGAGTTTATTTTTAAAATGAAGTAGTCAAACTTAACTACCGAATCTGTTATTCGAAATAAAAAAAATACAATAAATAATACTTGTGGTTAACAACAGTATGTTTCGATCAAGGTATTAACCCAAAAATACGTTAAACTAGCTTTTGCCCGCGACTCCATTCCAGTGGAATAGTGACTTCCTACAGATTTTTGGTATAAAAACTATCCAATGTCCTTTCTCGAGTTCCAAACTATGTCTGTACCAAATTGCACAGAAATCGGTTCAGTAGTTTAGGCGTGAAGAAAAGACAGACAGACAGAGTTACTTTCACGTTTATAATATTAGTTTGGATAACTACAAATCTGCCCATCTATAACACACATCCGTAACTTCTTTAATCCTTATTTGACACAGGAATCCTTTCTCAAGGTACCTTAATGTAAAACGAACTTGTAATAGATAAAAAAAAAATGACACTATTATGACTGTGCACTTGGCAGAGTGGCTGAACAAAATCAAAATGGCTATCGTGCAACGGGTCGTGATCTCGACACCCGCTAGTAACAACTTTTTGTGTGATCCAAAAACTATTATTACCCCAATCTTGGTATGAATTTCTATATTTATAAACACCTCTATATCTGTACTAATATTATAAAGAGGTATTTGTAAGTTTGTATGTTTGTCAGTTTGTATGTAGGGGGTAATCTTTGAAACCGCTGGTCGGATTGCCAAAATTATTTCACTGATAGATAGCTAAGATGTTGCTATAGGCTATAAATCATCACGCTACGATTAAATGGAGCCGAGCAGAGGATGAAACCGCGCGAGAGTAGCTAGTATAATAATAATATACATACACAGCTCGATACTGTACAGAAAGTTCTAGAAAAGGCGGTTACAAAAAGCGGTGTACCGGAAAACGTTTAGCCACGCGACTCCCTTACTAACGACCGTAGAAAGCATATCTATACTACACTCGCCGCCCGGAGGAGCTCGTAAACGAGATTTCTTTGGGAAATGTTGTTAGTTTAATATTTAAAGTGGATAAGTTTGTTGGCCAGTTTATTTTTTATTCTTATTTTCTGCAACAAAGTGTTTCACGAGTGCTTTTTTTTGTGGTTCCATGTTTCAAAAAGCCTACCTTGACGTTTTAAAGCGTCAATCTTCCGGGAGAGAAAGAGGGATATAAAAGAAGAACTATAAAATGTATATAGCTCCATGCCTCTTTCTCTCCCGGAAGATTGACGCTTTAACACGTAATGGTAGGCCTACAGGTCAGATTCAAGATATAAAAAAAACTATACATCATATTTATCATCATTATCACCACCACCACTGGGCAAAAGCCGTTTCTCACGCGAAGGCTTAATCACTAACCACTGCGCTTACTCAATCTAAATAATATTTCCTATGTGTGTGCTGATTTGCATGAGACGGATTAATAAAAAATAAGGGCATAAACACATACATACCTACATATTATTATGTCATCTAAGGAGATAATATTTTCAGTAATTGCTTAGCCAACCTGACCACAAGTACCTAGAAGTTTACAATGACATAACCTTAACAGCTATGGTTTTTATTAGGAACCATACTAGGAAATCCTTGTTCCGGAGATAACAAAGGAGTATTATTAAGAACTCTTATTGCCATAAACTTAACGAATCCTGCTAAATTTGCTCTATTACCTACTCAACAATAATAATAATAATAACAATTTCTCCTTTAAGTAGGCAACTTCTATCTGATTTTACTATCATAAATATTATGGATTTGTGAATTGTAAACAAATCTATGTAAAAAATTCACACAAAAAAAGTACTTCATATTTCTGTATAAAAAATATAAAATTACTTTAACATCACGATAATAAAACGCGCCATTTCAAAAATAGAACCACCTTACACTCGCCACATTACAGAGTGTCAAAGAAAAAAAAACTTGTGAAAAAAATACGCGAGTAAAAGCAGGTTGGTAACCTACGCGACCTGCTTGACTCATAGGGAATGTGAAAGGATTTTTTTATTTTGTTCATACATACAAGTTCCCTTACCCTTTCGTAAGTACCTACTTACAATGTACTATATTATTGTTTGAGTGCAAACATGACGTGATCTTTCGAAACAACTCTGGTGACTAAGAAAGCAAAATAATAAAATTAAAAAGCAAGTTAAGTAGGCATTCATAAAAAACAAATTGTTATGAAGTTACTCTACTAAACAAAAGGTATTTTTAATCATTAGTAATTTATACAATTAAAAACGTTGAACGCAGACATATAACAGCCCGTATGTTTCGAAGTGCGGGCTTTTGCATCACGAAAAAAGAAAAAAAACTCATACATTTTAAAGACGTTATTTGCGAAGTCGTTGGCCCGACACGTTATACAATGAACATTAAATTTCTGCACAATACCATTAAGAATGAACAGAGTAACAGCAACAATAATAATATGTTATCACAACGGTATTTTGTATAAAACCTGTTTATGTGTGAACATTTCCTCTGCCAAAGCCTTGGTTATGTGTGGTGATGGAATCGATGTTTTGTATTAAGAACGTGAAAATATTTACGGCCAGTCTTTTAAGGGAGTAATACCATAGACTTTAGAAATAAATATGTATATATATCTATGGTGTTGCTATGTGCATTATGGGTCGAAAGCTATCTACTGCTAAAATTTTCAAGTTAAGAAAGCTCAACGAATTTCGCTTAACCATTCAACTAATGATGTAGTCAAAGTAAAACATGACAGTATACATATTTAACAAAACATAGCATTTCATACGAAATAAAGTGTCAGCGACAGTTCTGAGTCGGGACTTAAAATTAAGTCGCTTTTGAGTATTTGAACATTTTTCATAGGAATGAGAAGGAAATTATACTGGAAGCTTTTACGAGGCGCAGTACGAGTAGTAGATATTATTCTTAATGTATCTAGGTCGTAACGAATGTTAACTATGGTGATATACTCACCGCAACAAAGGGCGATAAATGTCTATTTTATATTTACGGTGCAGTGATTTTATTTTAAAACATGACTACCTTAATTACACATTGAAATATTTATCGCAAAACGAATCATAAAAATCAGATACTAAATCATATTTTATCTGTGAATAGATGATTCTAGACCACACCATGCATCGACCACAACGCCCTCTGCTCTATGTAACCGCACCTACAATTTCTACATTAAAAATCGAACTCTCAATAACTTCCGATTAAAAAGAAAATTCTAAGGACCGGTACTTCACTATCAAAAACTTATTAAAAAAATTCAACAACCCTCCGGCCTCTAGCGACGTGAAATAAAACTTCATCAATCATTTTTTATACAAACGCTCTCCTTCGAGAAAATTCCTTATAAAAATGACAGTAAAATAACGAACAATAATACAAGGTAGGTACCTAAGTAGTAACTTTTTATCATTTGTTTGGGTCTCCGTCGGACGAGGTCAATGAGAAATATTATAGCAAAAAGAAGAATACAATTCAGTCTCTACAATCACGGAATGTTATTTAATTTTGTTACATTACGTTATTCTTGTCTGTCGTGACGGAAAAAGACGTTGCATATCTGTTTACATCTTTAAGAACTGATCATACAATCTATCGTTCTTTTTCAATACTTGGATTTTAAGAGAGCTAGGACATACCTGATTAGACACCTAAAGCCAATATTGACTCTAACAAAAACCACTTCACATTGCAAAAAGTATCAGTAGGCATGTACACAAATAAATTATCGGACCCAATATCAAAGATCGGGTTTGCCAATGACCTTTTGACGCCAACTCCATCCGGCTCGGCCACCATAGCGTTTATGCCACCATAAGGATAATTTATTCGCTCATTCCCCGATAACGAACGACCGCCTTCCGCAAACGTAGTCAGTGATCACAATTCACTTGGGTATGTAGACCCAAAGCCTGTTTGCCTAACAACATTTCAATACCCTTTTGTATCCAACAAAAACTCAACGTAAAGGTCTATCGTTTTCTTATATGAGTAGTTCTTTCTTTACGAAAGCGCCACTTTAGTTCGATGAAATAAAAATGAGGCAAAATCCGTACTGAAAATTCAATAAAAGATTATATTGTTGGAACAATTTGTATGTGTATTAAGTAATACACAAAGAAACAAAAAGTGGAACAATATTTCATCGAAGTACAAATTGTAATGTCAAAACCAGTTCGTCTTTGTGTACTTAGTAAAACAGGGCAAAAATAACAGTGCGTAGTAAAAACGTGGTAATAACAAGAGGAACATCGGTTGCTACTGGCCGTAACGAGGGACGAGCCTCGCCAAATTGGCAGGGAAGGTGAACATAGACGGTGATACTTCTGGAAGTGCTAGGGCATAGTTCAAAAAAAAAACGGAGTAAGACTGGAAAATGTTAACCGATTCCTTTTAACTGATTACTCGTGTAAAATTGTTTAGATCCTCAAACAAAGAAAGTTTTGCAAATTCTGCGTTGAAGGTTTAATTTTTGTTGCCTAAAATTTGAATAGAATAGAAAATTAGCATACTTGTAACTGCGTAAGCCAGTATACTAGAAACTTAGAAAGTTGAAACCGTCAGAGTTTAAATTTCAAAGTTGTAGCCGTGTAAGGAGAATCCTTGGTAAACCAAGTTTAACCAAGTAAACTAAACACAATCTTACTGGTTTTGCTTTTGCAAGAAACTGCCATAGGGAGTTGTAGCGGCGACGACCAGACAAATGATTTTAAAATGAGTTTCGTATACCAGCTGTGAAATAATAAACTAGCGGCTACTTCGGTTTTACGCCAAAATTCTGGCCGTGGCTGAATATTTGCGGGTTCCAATTTTAATTCTGGCGCCGGCGTAATTTTCTGGTCGTCAGCATAAAACCACTATTTCCCTGGCTAATGTCAAAACTCTGGTTTTAGTCGTTCGGTATCCCTTCTAGCGTAACGTATGCGAAATTTGCCTTTGGCTACTGACACATTTAATATCTAGGGAGTTTGTTTGACACGAAAAATAATCTTTTTTGTAAACTTTAAAACAAAAGTGAGTGCTGTAAAGCTAGCTGCTTTGTGAATTATCTCGGCATTCTCTGGGGCATTTCCAGTGAGTCGGTGTAATGCGTAGTGCACACAAACACGCCGAGTGGGCAAAATCAATCCACGTCGGGCCCGGAGGCGAGGCCACTAAGTGCCTTAATACCCGCTGCTCAACCTCACAACCTTCGTGCTCAGAAACATGGAAATTGGTTCACATTCTCAGAATATCATCCCGGAAATCGTCTGTTTGTGTCCATTTTGTGAAATAAAAGGGAAATCGTATTACTCTGAACAATCCGTGGCTTGTATAAAATTATAAGCTCCACGTTATGTCGTTTCGGAGTTAGATCAGCTTTGAATTGGTTTTGTGTTGCCATTTTCGTGGCGTATCCAAAGGCGGCGTTTTAATTTCAAAACAGAATTGAGTCTTTTGTGTATTCCACGCAAATTATTGGCACATAATAAGAGGTTTTGGCGTGTTTTTGTGCAAGGCCAAAATGCAAAATATGGAAAATAATGGGAATAACCTCGATCTTATTTACATTGAAACAATTTCTATTATCAGTTTCGAAACACATTGATTGCCTACAGAACTGAAAAAACTTCTCAACACCGTGGTTAGTCTCACAACACTGAATCAGGTATATGTTGAATCAATATGTTTACGCTCATCTACCCTAATGGAGCGGACTGGATTCCACGCGGTATCAACACTAACCGAATTGGCTCCACTCCAAACCACGTGCACCGCTTGAGTCGAAATAAATATCTATAGTATAACTGATATGATACCTCATTCTTGGATAAATGTTGCCCGAAAATTGGAAATTGCTTTCCCACAAAATAACAAGAAAACGGATTACCTACCAAAACTATTATAAACATCGATTTAATACATAAAACGCTAACATTTAACACGAGTGGTTTTTTTCACGCTCACGTTATTTTTTTGACAAAATATTAAATTGGAACACGAATGAAAACATCGTTCATTCAAACCGACGCCATATAAAACCATGACGAATATATTTAATGATCGAACGCATCCGATATCAAAACGTTTGAATTGAGAATATTTGCCACGACTGTCATCGGCTTGAATGGGACGCGAGTAGGCTTTTGTCGCCAAGCTTTTGTGCCAAAATGCTCGTATACAAGCCTCGACATTACTGACACTTTGGGCGGAAAATGATTTATTACCTTACAAAGACGTCTTATGTTCTATAACTCTTTGACACTGCAGTAAGATTTTGAGGCGTCATAACTCAGTGTGCTTGATAGTAGGTTAGGTAACTTACGATAAATTTGAAATTAGAATAGAATTTTATTTTATTTTTCAAATAATCTGGAAATTAATTCTTTTTTAAACAAAACCTTATTTTGTTATTTACATTTCATTTCAATTTTGTTTTTAAATATTACAACAAAGTAGGTACACTTATTTCAAATTATCAAAAAACGCATAATTATATACGAATTCGTCGGATTGAGAACCTTCCTCCTTTTTGGAAGTCGGTTAAAAATACTGCGAGTGATATTTTTCTCGAATACGTTTAGTCTTCTCTAATTCAGCCAATCATGAACGTCGACATTAATTAAGTCAAACAGATTATATCGATCCGCCATCTAGAATACGGCATCTGACATCTTGTCAAATTGAATATTTTTTTCTTTAACGAAATGTCCCAAACGATACTTTTCTATCAATTTTGTACGTGATTGACTCAGAATACAAGAGGTGATTGATATTATTTTTGCTTCAAATACCATATTTATTTTTTAAAATTAAGATAGACAAATGAACTCTATAGTCGAATCAGTGAGTGATGTAACATTAATAATTTGCAAACTACCAAACATTTTTTTTTCACAGAAAAAAAAATATGAAAAAAAGTATATAGCTTTTCGGTAGGTTTATTACATACCGAAATCAATATTTTACTATCTACAAATTAATATGAAAATCCATTACACAACAAAGAACTTAAAGTGTAGGAGAGCCATGCTTCGACACTGATGGGCCGGCTCAACTATGTGCACCATGACTTCGCTGAATCCTGCCATACTGATATGACAAAACGCGATCTATGTCTACGCTGTTGACTACTTTTCGGGTCTGAACGATAATCGGGACAGAGATACATTATTTTTCTTTTCATTATTAGTCTTGAATAGCAAACACATGGGCTACTTTTTGCCCTGGTAGTCTGGTAGGTACTGCGGGTAATGCTACTGGCAAACAATAGTATCTACATTACGATTATAGAGCCGCCTCGAATAAACACCATTGACTATAGTTTTGTGCTTAAAAGAAAACAACATAATTTTTAACTCCTCTCTACATCACGTAAAGGTTCGACTATCATTAAGTCCACCTTATACACAAATGTTTGTGCAAAAGCTTAAATAAATCCAAACTAATATTATAATTGCGTCTGTCTTTTCTTCACGCCTAAACTACTGAACCTATTTGTGTGAAATTTGGTACAGACATAGTTTGGAACTCGAGAAAGAACATAGGGGAATATAGAAATTTAACCACGCGAACAAAGTCGCGGGCAAAAGCTCCTTAACAAATACAAAACAAAAACACAAAGAAATTCTACTTACGTAATGTTTAATTAGGAGAAATAACATGCATAACACACGTTAACATTTTTTTTGTTAATAAAACAGTAAGCAAATGGTATTTTAACGAAGGCCCTTATTTCGTATTTAACGTAGGTATCTTTCCATAGCCTTGAGATGTCTGAACAAAATAATTACCGTAATTATTACAAGTAAGTACTGATACCTACATAATACTTCAAAAGGATGCTTTTGAAGTATACACTATGATATTCATTTGACGATTAAAAACCTTGTTTTTTTCTTTTAACATTCGGTTTCTTTAGTGTACATTTCTGAATCATACCAACAATTGGTTCATACGATCCAAAGGCCGTTAGCCGCGACACTTTCACTGGCTAATACTCCACTAGCATGCTACTATTTTTTTATGGGATAAGTCGGCAAACGAGCTGACGAATTACCTGACGGTAAGCAATCGGCGCTGCCCATAGACACTCTCAATGCCAAAGGAGTTACGAGGAAATTGCCCGCGTTTTGGGGATAAGCGTTTTGGATATTTAAGGAGTGGTAAGTGATGGGGCAGGGGTAAGGATTGGGTAACCTCACTCACATGGCGAAACACAACGGTATGGTTGATTCAAGCACGTTTTCTGTGAGGCCGTAGTATCACTATGGTCGAACCGACCGATTCGTGCCAAAGCTTGGCTATTTCCCATGCTTGCATTCTATTCTGCATCATTATTGCCTCCATAAATGTAAAGCTCATCAAAATAATCGAATTGCATAAACACCAGCTCATTTTAAACCAAAGGCATTATCGATTCAGCCTCTTTTAAAAATGGAACGTTTAAACGGGAAAAAATAAAGTTTGGAACATAAAGTCTGGAATGAAATAGGTTTTATTCTAATAGTTTATGTTCGTCTAAAAGTCGGTGAATGGAACGCCGATGAAGCAGGTAGGTACCTAAGTTAGTTCATGTTGTACGTAATGAAAGGAAAACTTTCAATGGCCAATAGTTAAACTCGAATTGTTAAATGTAAATACCATTATATTCGTGATCTTTTCAAACGGGAAGCATGTAAGTACAGAATAATACGAAACTAAATAAATCTACTACGTCGACAGTTATGTTACAAGGCATAATGTGCATATTCAATATAACGCTAATAAATCTATACTAATATTATAAAGAGGTAAAATTTGTATGTTTGTATGTAGGGGGT